AGCCCATTTCTCAGTGAGAGAGTAACGTGTTCGTAGAGCCGATTTGCGCCCATGCTGCTGGCAGTTAACTCTGGAGTAGCTGACATTCTGTGGAACTACTCTTCAGTCATCTTCCTTGTGATTTGTAGAATAAGACGACAGCTCTTGATGTGCCTTGCTGCCTCACTCCACTGGAGATCAAGACGCGTTGTTTCGGTGTGTCAGCAGTGTGTAACTCTTTCATGTTTTGATCAAAGTCAAACTTTGCATGGTGCCAAGGTAAGGCTCTTCACGTGTTTTCTGTACCTTTTGTACTTCATGCGTACGAGCATGTTTTGGACTTTCTCTCTCCATGTAAAACGATCGTTCAGAAAAGCGGCGTGGTGGCAGTACCTGTCTTGTGAATACGGTGGATGTGTTTAAATGCTTAAAGAGAAAATTAACTGGTGTGTGACTTCTGTTTTCCCAGTCTGGGTCAAAATACTTCAGTTCACAAAATCTGTGCAAGTAACTTTCTCCTCCCTGGCTTTATATAACAAAACAAAGTTGAGCCAATTTTCATTTTTTTTAAAGGTAGGTTTCAAAGTATTTTTGTCTTATTTGGCCTGACTTCTATTGCTTTAAAGACAAATGGATAGAAAATGAAGATACATTTGGGTCATAGATTTGAAATCTTAAAGTGTATGAAACACATACTTGTACACAAAAAAATACAGCTACATTTCCTTTACTTTCTTGTGGGGTTAGAAACACAACCCTGTGTTACCTGAGTAGAAAACATGCATTGCTCTTGTCTTCACGAAGCTTTGTCTTTCTGCTGAGGAGATGGAGGATGTTCTTGGAGTGCTGCTGGCCATCTCCTCTCATGGGATTGGCTTCACATGGACTTGGGTGACACGATCATAAAAATACAGCTCTGAACTAGTGTTTCTATGGATGTTGCTAGTGCTGGCGCTGTAAGAAGGGCAGCAGGTATCTCCTGTCATGCACTTCCAGGTTTTTTTGCTGCAGTGTTACTGGGCAAGTTTTAGTTCACCAAAAAAATAAAAAAATTACGCACAATTTTAACCGTGTCTGAGGCTGAGAGATGTTGAATGGAATTGACGGTCCCCTCTTGGTCTGGTTTGTCCTTAAGGCTTTGTAAACTCTGCAGTCTGGAGCAACTGATGTTACTTTCACATGGATGTATCTTTGACCAAGGTAAAATATAGCTGAAAAATTATGCTTTTAGTGTTAACTTAATCAGAAGAATTTTCTGTGTACGTACCTTCTCCCCACCAAACCCTTCCTGGTTTATTTTAGGTCATCCAGAAATATGTTTTCTAATGTTCTCAATTGTGGATACTTTGCTGTGTATCAAAACTAAAAGAAAATACTTGCTGCCTTAGCCAGGTTGAATTTTTTGTGAAAAAGTAGTGGTAATGTGGTTTTTTCCTTTGTTTGAAATGTTACACTGAATGTTTTGTAGGAAGATTTTTTTTTTTACTGTGTTTTCAATAAAGTTAGTGTGATTCATAGTGGAGTTTTGCTTTTTTTTAAATTTATTTTAAGCAATGAAAAAAAAAAATCTCTGTGGCATTCTGAATTATCCTATCAGTAGTTGGTGTGAGTAGTTGCATTCCTCTCTCTTCTTCCTTCCTTCATTTCCCCCATTTTAAGAGGCTTTTGAGATTCTCAGATAGTCAGGTTTTTAAAATATGTAAGGTGTGGTATGCGATAGAGATTCCTGTACATTCAGGGGCATTACAGCCCTGTGTTTGAGATGCACAATTAATTTGAACCCTCTACTTCAGGCAAGTGGGGTTTGTTTACAGAAGAGTGTGCTGATTGATTGTGTGATGTAGAAGTCATTTTTCAATAGCTTAATAGTTTGACTGAAGGGCAATTTTTATATATAAAAAACCTGACCACCATGTTTTCTAGACTATTTGAAACTTCAGCAGCTTCAGACTTTCCTTGCCATTTCACAAGAGATTTTAGGCCATTTTTAAAGTTCAAGAATCACATGGCTGGAAGGGACCTGGAGATGTCTGATCCGTTCAGCTGCACATGATCAAACAGACCTACGTTATTCCTGGTATTTAACCAGCCTGGCAAGGACTACCTGTGATGTGATTTCTGTGCTGTCTCTAGGCAGCATATTCCAGTGTTTAATTGCCCAAGGTTTCCTAAATGTCAAATGTGAATGGGTCCTTGCCATGCTTTAAGCTTTAATTTGGTTCTCAGTGTCCACAGTAAGACAAGTCTGCTTGTACCAGTTTTTTCCACACCTGAAAGGTTACATTTCCTTTTATCTCCTATGTAAGAAGTGACCCCCAAATCCCTCAACTATATTATGTAGGCCTCTTGTTATCCTTTTTGCTGCCTGTGAGGACCCTCGTGTTTCTAGAAGTGCGGAGCTCAGAACTGGACACAGAAACCTCCAAGCTTGAGCCCTTGCACTACATCACGTCTTCAGTACTTTGTTTTTGTTTTGTTGGTTTTGGTGGTCTTTTTCTCACAACTTTCATTTGCACTGCACTTGTGTTCTCAAATATGTTTCTGGATGTCTTTCTACAGAAAGTCTATTGCTACATATGTAAGATGCGAGTCATCTCATGCATGGGGTTATTCCTGCGTAAGTGTGTATTTTGCACTTTTTTGTGACACTACGTTTTCTGCTTCATCTGCAGGACTGTGTCCTGTTACAGAAGTGAACTGAATTGGCTTGATAGGATTCTCTTCTTGGTAAATCCCATGTCAAATACTCATTCTTTTTAAGTAGCTTGTACCAGTGTTTTTCTGGGAAATGAAGTGAAACTAATGTCTGCATTTCCCCAGGATTTCTTCCCTCCTTCGCAGTTTCAAGACAGGTTTATTAATTCCTACTCATTTGGAGCGTCGCACATTGTTCTTAGAGCCAACAAACTCTGAGCGCCCTGCAGACAGCCTTCTGGCTGCCCAAAAGCAGAGGCAATCAGCAACCAATCTGTAAAACGCTTTTTATCTGCTGATCCTCGAATACAGCCTTGCTCACTTCCAGCTTAAGACTGTAAACCCATACACCTGGTATTGCAGTGACCACCTCACTTGATGCATGACACAATTTGATGTTACCGGTATTATTTGGAAGCTCTCTCATTTGTGTAGTTGATCAGTTATTGCCTTTTTATGCAAAATTTATTTTCTTGTTACCTTGATATGTTGCTATTTCATTTTGGTTTAGCGTCTGACTTACCTTTATGTGCTTATACTTTTCTTATAGGTTATCTATGGTGACCTGACTTAGTTTCAGCAATACGTAGCTGAAGAGTCATAATCGTGTTTTTATTTCTCTTGAACGTGGTCAGTACTTATTGTGGTTCCAGGTTCTCTGAAGTTCTGAAATGATCCTGCATCTGAGGGAAGCTTTTATCTACCTACAGCTCTGTGGAGCTGGTCAGAGACGTTCAAGCAGAAGCAGCAGCCAGCATTCTAGTTAGTAAATGTGGCTGAAGGAAAAGCAAAAGAAAGTGTTTCTTGCTACAGCGACCAGTTGCTGTAGTGGCAGTCCTTGTGAGCAGGAACTTGTGTTTTGTGTTGCAATAAATCAGGTGTAAAAAAAAAAAAACAAAACTGAGAGACATAGTGGGGTATTGCTGAATTAACACAATGCCTGAAACAATTGTGGCTCATTGGTGAGAAAGGGAAATTAAAATGGAGGAAGGTAGGTGTGACAGAGGGAGGAAAGAAAAAATGCTGGAAGACCAAAGGTGAAACTGAGTATAAAAGGGAAGCAACAGCACCCTTCTAACTTTTCTCTCTCTAAATACAAGGCGAGTACCGTTGTCCATACAAAATCATTTGTTCTTGGAAGATCTGGCTCTGAAAAGGCTCCAAAGTTAGAAGTACATGTCTTGTCAGCTATGATCTATGAGGTAGTTCATTGTGACCTATGTGTATCAACACTTGAGGATGTTCTCTTGATAATATCAGCAACATAAAGGACAAATATGTCGCTCTCCCAAGGAAAAGTCTTCAAATGCTTGAAGACAGATATGATGAAACAAATGTGAACAAGAAAGCAGAACAGCCTGTTGTGAAAAATGATTGCTCTAACCAGAAAAGAGGCAGGATGAACGTTAGGACTGAGGGGCATGATACAGATAGGACAGTCAAATATCTCTTGTCAAAATGCCTGAGTAAAAACAAACCAACCAACCCTCTAGTGAAACAATGGAAGGGAAATATATCAGCAATATGCTAATTCAAATGTTCAGATTTTATGACTGTAATGTATTTTGAGAAACTTAATATTTGATTTTCAATTTTGTCTACAGCCTCTTTGGGCTCTTTAACTGAGTAGAAGACAGATGCTGCTGAAGTAAATGTCTGAACTGTAAAAACTTTTTAATATTTCTGATTTGGAACAGATGGACCAAAATTTAAGAAAACAGAAAACACTTAATTGTGCTGAAAAGACTGCCATGCCTCAGAAGAGCATAAAAGAGCTTATAAATGCAAAACTACTTTTAAAAAAAAAAACAAAGGGGAAAAAAACCCACCACAACTAAACCAAAAGCCAGCCAACCTGCATCTGGATCTTCTCCCAGTCAGTTTCACTTATTAATAATATTTCTTTTCCTTCCAACTGTAGAAACACATCTCGACTTGCAGCTATAGAAGAATCTATCTCAGGAAAAAAAATTCATTTAGATTGATGTCCGAAGAACTCAACAGTCGATTGCTGATCTGTTGAACCTGAAAAGAAAATTGACTGCTTCTAGATTTGGAGTTACTCATGGGTAGTTCGTATGTGGGTGTATTGTGAGTGATTGGACAAGTGGGCCTGAATAGTTGCATGATCTATGGAATCTTGTTCCAGTTTGCAGCTGGTGTCCAGTTCTGGTTTAGAGGTTAAAAGCATCAGGTCCCCAGGCTCCACTGATGGACCATTATCCTTCAGAGAAAACACAGAATTTTCATCACTAAACTTTCCCAAGATAGATGTACTCTTCCTAACCCATATGAGTGCGGCACAGAGGGTACAGCTGTGTTAGAGAAAGGAAGTACAGAACTTCGGTGAGCATTGGTTATTTGATGGGAAACCAGTGCATCTGCTGGGGGGTTAGTTAAAGGTGTGTTAACCAACGAGAGAAGAGGCATCTTGGGTGTTGCCCTTGGTACAGACTTTTATCACCTTCTGCCTTAAATATGTTTCTGCATATTGCCCATAGGCATAAGCAATCTGGTCTTCATAGCTGAAGATGCTCCCATTACTGCTCCGCAAAATAAATACCTAAAGCAGTGAATGCTTTTCTTAATCATCTCCTTGAGGGCAATCCCAACTCACTGTGGCCACTTTCTCATTGCTACCACGATATCTGAAAGTTCTGTAGGGAGTCACACAGGTCTTAGACTTGTCTTTTGTGACTCTGTTCGTAAATGCCTTCAGCAGTTTTAAGGAACGATTTAACTTCAGTGCCAAGACCATGCAATGGGATCCTTTCTCTCCATGCATTTCCTGTGAGTGAAAACTTGCTAGAAAAACAGGGAGCCATCTTTTCAGCGAAGATGGGATGGGAAGTGGGAGGCGAGGTGGCAGAAGGGTTGTTGTCAAGGTCAGACAGCCTGATGGTACCCGAAAACTTTCCTATTGTTTCATTTAACTTTTTTTTTTGGTAGGTTTTCTCTACCAGGACATGTGCTTCCTTACAACTGCTAAAGTGACCCTTCACAGCATCTATCAGAATATTCAGAGTGAACTTTTCTAAATGCAAAGGAATCAAGAGCCCAAATCCCCCCAAAACCCCACAAAAACTATCTGAAAAGCTCATTTAACATTCTAAGTTTTCATTTAAACTTTGATTTTCCTGAATTTCCTTCTAAAACTATGAAAACACTTATGAGTTAATGCTGGTTTTTTGATTCCTGCCCACCCCCCCACACTAATTTT